TGGCAGTCATGGTTGTTGGGTGCCACTGAGTTGACCACAACTAATAGATACCCTGTGAGCAGCACATTCGAACTATATCTTATCCTGTGCCGCCATCATATCTTTTATACTCACAGTCATTGCTGCAGCACCTGTGTTGATCTATCTCTTTCCACCTTTCCAAGCATGATGTCATTTTTCAAGGACTGGCCTCTTCCAACCTCATGAACAAAGTTGGTGGGATGGGAGTTTCATCATCCTTGCTTTTAAAGAACACCTTGGCTGCACCTTTTCCAAGATATAATTTGTTTTTCTGCAATCTATAGTATAGTCAGCACTTTTCTCCAACACTGTAAGTAAAAGGCTTCAGTTTTTCTGCTGTCATCCTTAGTGTCCAGCTATCTAATGGTAGGAAGTAATTGGATCAGGTGTGTTAGTCCTCAACCTACATCACTGCTTGTAGTGCATTGGAGCAGTCTCTGACCACAGACTTCCCAGTGCTAGACACTTTTTGTTTGACTGCTGTTGCAAAGGGGTAACTCTTTAGTCTCTTGATCTATCTTGCCATTGCTTATTGGCCCAGTGTTGAAGATTTTATCTTATTTTTTTTAAATAAAATTTTGTGATTTTAACAAATGTTTACAAAGAAGATTTTCTTTCATTCATTGTTGCACATTTTACCTTTTCTCCCTCTCTTCCCCTCCTCCAGTTCACTTTTTAAAAAACTCATTTTTGCACAATAGTAACAGTCTTTTTAAACTAAAACCAAAGATTCAATGGCCTTGAGTCGGAAGCAATGCATAGGTGACTCTGGCAGGTCTGTAAATTGCAGCTATAAGTCACACAGGAGGTACTCCTCTTTCTCCATGGCACAGCAGCTGAGATATAAACTGTATTGAAGGTCGTAGTCTTTGACCTTCTGCAGTAAGTGTTTAGGTCCTCCTCGCTTTTGGCAAGCAAAGTTGTGTTGTCCATAAACCACAGGTTGTTGATGAGCATTTTTCACCAGTCCCAATGCCATATTCTTTTTTTTTTCTTTTAATAATTTTAATGAGCATTTACAGAGATTTTGGATTTCCATTCATTCATTGCTGC